TGTTACCAGGGATTGAATTCAGGGGCACTCAACCACTGAGCCACATCCCCAGTACTATTCTGTAGTTTAAATATTTTGAGACAGGGTCTTTGCACCTTGCGGTTGCTGAGGCTGGCTTTGAACTTGCAATTCTCCTTAGCCTTCAAGTCACTGGGATTACAGTTGTGCGCCACTACGCCTCGCTAGGAAATTTTTATTAATAAGTAATAAATTAACTCAGCAATTCTAAATTAATGCATGACTTGATTACTGATTTTTTAGGTTAAATAGAAACAAAATTGTTTATATGGTCCTTTAAAATACTGTTTATTGTCCACAAGAAAGTTTTTCTCATCCAAAGTCTCCCCTTCACACACATGGATTGAACCCAAGGGTGCTTTACTATTGCGCTATATCCTAAACCCATTTTATCTTTTTATTCTGAGACAATGTCTTACTAAATTGCCCAGTCTGGTCTGGATTGTGAAATCCTCAGCCACCCAAGTTGCTGGATTACAGATGTATACCACCAAACCTTCCAGCGGATTTTATTATTTATTTCATTTCAAAATGTCTTATGTTGTTTTTACCTAGCAAAAGAAGATTCTCATTTTTAAGCTAAAAGGTAAAATGTTACCCTAAATATTGCTCTGAAAAATTTTTAAGTTGACAATTATAACTATATTTTGTTAATTTAAACCTTGACTCTTAAAATCTAAATAATTGCTTATTTTAAATTAGTTCCAAGCTGTGAGTTTACCAAAATGAAGAATGATAACAAGTCTGCTGTTCCTATTCTAAAACTTGAGGGAAGCAAAATAATGAGACAAATGTTGTCACTATAATACTTTTCTAAAAAGCCAAAAAAAATATTTTTTTGGAGTGCTGGGAATCTAACCCAGGGCCTCACACATGCTAGACAAGCATTATTCCACTGAATTACATCCCCAGCCCCAAAAGTAAAATTTCAATCAATGCATACATAAAATAGTATTGTGAAGCTCCTTTATTTCTTCAAGAGACCCACAATTTATTTAGCAGCCATGCATTTTTCTAAAATATTGACAAAAAAACACAATAGAGACTTATGAAACTGGTATTAAATGAAGTGGGTTTTTTTCTTACACTAGTCCCAAATTTCAAATTCATAAATATATAGTTAGGTAATTTCACTTAGGAGTTTTAGCACCATTTGACAGGTATCACCAGGGTGGGTGGGTATTTGAGAAAATATGTAAGGAAAAAACTTTCATTTTTCATAAATAAGCAATCTCAACATATTTATAATCAGAATTATTTTTAAGTATTTCCTTTGAAATGTAAGAAATCAATATTTCAACTATGTTGGAAAGAGTTTTAAGGTTCAGAGATTATATCAAAAAATGTTGGAATCATTGTACATATTTGTCTTTTCTGAATCCACATAGATCTATAGATTTCTCATCTGTAAAATGAAGCATTTGAACAGAAAAATGATCTATCCCTACCAAGTCTTCTGGTACTTATTCTTGTGACTAAGTCATATGCTTTTTTTAATCAATAAAATAAAACTCCAATGTCATTAAAATATATTCTAGAAAACTTCTTAACCCATTAAGGACTTTAAAGATACTTTACAGAAACAAGCCAACCATTTTATATCTGAATAAAAAGACATTAGTAGCAACTGCACAAAGCACAGAGTTCTAATTTTATGTGAAATCAGAATATTAAATCTCTAATTTAAGATCACTTTAGTATAATTAGATTTTATTTCAAATCTAAACTTCTGTTATGAAGTTCATGGTCACTGTATTATTTGAATCTTTTTTATGGCTTATAAGTGTGCCAAAATTAATCTTGTTTTTCCTTTATATACGAAAAACCCATTTTCTTACCATTGTCTTTATATAGGTTTCATTAAAAAAAAAAAAACCCTTCTCAAATGGGAAATAATCAGGGTTGTACTAAACTAATGATTCTTTTTTGGACATTCTCCAATGTTTAAATTCGTTTTCCTTCAATTTTGTAACCACATTTGTAAATGTAAAAATTAAATATCAAAATATTACTAGTCTGATGCTGAAATAAATTCTTTCACTTTGGTAAATATTTCCATTTTAAGCAAAAGCATTAATTGTCTTTAGTATAAAAAATGACCTTCCAAAAGGTCTTTTCTATGACAGTTCACAAAGACTAGAAACACTCAGACATTAATGCTGTTTATCCCTGAGTGGTAGTATTACACGCCATTTTATATTTTACATTTCCCAAAAAGGATTATTCCCTTGGTAATCGAACAGTATATTTAAATTAAATTTTAGACAGCTCATAAGGTATGAGACATCAACACAGTGTACTTTTTTACAGGAGATTTGCTAATTTTTCTCTTTGATAAACTGCTGCTTTAAGAGGAGAATGATTTGATCAGGTGTCTATTAGGCTGAATGAAGACAAAACAGGTTTATATTCCAGATCCTTCTTTCATTTAAGGCTTTTGAGAAAATCCAAGAAGTGAATTCGAACTTAATTGCCATGCATCTGGCAGTAGTAAACTTTTTGGATGGTCAGAGTAACACCTTTCATTACAACCATTAGCTGAATGGCAAAAAACTCTCAGGTTTACCAATGGTTTCAGAGACTTCTTAGTGTTCTCCTCTGTCATTATTTCAGAACAATTCCATTTAAAAGAAACGCAATTGTAAATCGTTTCTATTTCAAGCCTATGAAAACCAGAATTAGGATGAAAGGCAAAGCCTTGACCTTTCTATTTTAGACTTTCATCTGTGTAGCTAAGCCATCTGCTTTCCCCCATCTCCCACCCCATCTACTTAATGAACTGAAAATACTACACCTAATTGCAGTGTTATCAAACCAGCCTGCCTTTTCCACTTTAACGAATTACGACTTTCACCTGAAGATTGGCTTGGTAAAATTTTATTTACGCTTCCTTACCTCCCGCCTCAATTATGAGCTGACAAATGTCTCAACTAAGATACTAGGCTCCCTTGTATTAAGCCATCTAAAGAGCTCCTCACTTTCAACATAGAGCGCCTAACGGAAAATCTACGAGTCTCTCCTCATCTGGATATGGGGCCGGTATTATCATTGTTGTTGCGGTTACGCAGGAGGCACCTAGCAGATCAGCCTGGAAAGGAGTCGCGCCTCTGTAAAGCCAAACCAGGAACCCAACCCGGGGAAAGACTGAGATGGGAGGAAACCTCCAGAAAGAAGGGAGCCGAGAATAAGAGGGCTCAAGATTGGAGAAAAGACCTTCCGAGGCAAGAACAGAAAAGGGTGTGTGAAGTGGAGCAAGAAGCTGGCAGCAGAGGCGAAGGGGGAAGAAGGGGCCAGAGGCCCGCGGGAGGGCCGGGAGAGCGCCTCCAGGACCGGGTAAGAGACATAGGAACCCAGGCAGGCGTGGGCAGCTCGCAGCCCACCGACCGAGTCCGAGCAGCGGGGGCGTTTTCAGCGGCGGTAGCTGAGGTTTCGGGATTGAACAGAAAAGATAGCAATTTGAGAGACAGAGGAAGCCTCGTCCGAGGCCGGCGCGACGGGCACAGCGGGCCCACCCCAGTTGAGCCCCGCTACTTAACTATTTGTAGAGCTGCTGCAGGCACAGGTCCAGGCTCTCGCCCTCCACCTCCTCACGGGTGATGCGCTCCGACAGCGGTCGCGGGAGCGGGGGCAGCGGCGGCAGCTGGGGCTGCGGCGGCGGTTGCACGGCCGAGTGCCCCGGGGCTGCCTCCTCCTCCTCCTCCTCCTCCTCCTCCTCGCCCTCAGCCGCCGCCACCGCCTCCGCCTCCTCCTCAACCGCCTCCTCTTCGGGCTCTGGGTCTTGCTCCGGTTCTCCCTCCTCCGTTGCGTTTACCGTGGCCGACTCCTCCCCGGGATCCTCGACCGAAGCTTCGGCCGCCTCAGCTGCTACCAGTTCAGGTTCGGGCTCAGACTCGGGTTCAGGCTCTGGCTCGCCCCCGCCGCAAGGACCACGAAACTCGCCCAGGAATAGCTCCAGGAAGCGCCGGTAAGTTTTCTCTTCTGGGCTGCAGCCGGCCATCGCTGTTCATGCCCCGAGACCGGCCGGGAAGGGAGTGAAGGAAACCCAAGAAGGGGAGGGGGCTGCTTTTGAGCCTCAGGCTCCCGCTACGACGTTTAACGGCCGCACCGGCACGAGCGATCAGCACCAGGTTGCCTGGAGAGGGCTCCCGCAGGCGTGCGCGCCGCCGAGCGTGGACGTGCGCGGCCCGGGGGCGGGGGCGGAGCGCGCCGCCCCTCTCAGGTCTGGAGGGAAAGTTGGTGGCGAGCGCGCGCAGGGTCCAGCGGCGGCCCACCCTCTATCCCTACGGAGAGCTCAGCCCACGCTGCCTAGAGACTGTCGCCATGGCAACCGGTTCTAATTAAGAATTTCAGGGTCCCTCCCGTCTAGCCCGCCGAGTCAATAAGGACACTGGATGTGTTTGCTGTCCAACTCTTTTGTTTTTATTGATTGGAGACCCTTGCCTCACTTTAAGAGTGAACTAAGATGTCTCCAAATCTAGCTGTTGGTTCCCACTTGAATTGCATTTACTTCAGTTTTTCCTTATTCGTTCCAGATACCACCACATTGTGAACACCTTTTGTTGATGACAGTCACTGATCAAGTAGGGAGAAGATGGGGCCCCAGGAATACCTAAGAAGTTGTAGCTTACTTTGCACAAGCTTTCTCATTTGATTCTGTGTTGTTATCCTCTTTGCTCAAAAACAATGAAAATGAAAATGAAGATAGTAACTTAGTTGCTCTAAGTCTCAAAACTTTTAGCTATGGCATTAGAATTAGATCGTTCGTTAATTTACAATGCCTTTTAGACCCCTTTTCTCTGAAAAGTCAATAGGGCATGGTGTCCATATTTGCCTTATCTGTATAGGGCTTTGCAGTTAGTAAGTTGTTTTCATCCCTTTAATCCTTAACACACTCCTTTGAGGTGGAAGACATTACCATTATGATTCTTTTTTTATAGATGAGGAAACCAAGCCTTGAAGACATGGTGACTTTGCTCAAGGTCACAAGCAAGTGATGCAACATGGACTCAATCATGATTGATTTCACCCATTGCTTTTCTATCACACCAAGATGCCCCTCTTCAGTTACTGCATAATGTATATTACACTGTTTTACATAATATGTATTTTTATATTTTGTTTGTTCTTCCCCATCCCCTCCTTTTTTCTTAAGTTGGAACTGAAACTACTTTAAATGATTCTAATTTTCTTACCAAACTACACACAAACCTATTATTTTCAAGCCTTACTGAGGGGGGTGGAAGAGGGAGAAGCTGTGCTGTTATACAGCTGTATAGATGATAGCATCATTACTGCATACTTCCATGTCCATGGCAACATATAATTCAGCTAACAGTAGTTCTTTCTCTACTTTGAAAAACATGGTCTCACAAATTATCCACCTCATCCACTCCATTTATTGTTTCTGGGTTTCAGTTGGATTTAGGGTCTGAAATACCATTTTCAGTCAGTTATTAATGGCAGAAGGAGGAGTCTCCTTGCCAACTGTTTTCATGTAATACTGTATTCTAAATCCCTGACCTGATGCTGTTATTTTAAGATTAAGTGGGTTGAGCTCACTAATGTACATTATGGCATCATGTAAAATAGAGTTCCATGCTTTTTCCTAGCTTGAGATTAAATTTATGATACAAAGTATACAGTGAGTAATGCACTTGAGTTCTCTATATTTATTTTTAAAGGTAGATGGAAAGACCCAATAAGTCTGTTTCCAGACATGCTAAATGTATTTATGTGTGTTTTGTTTAAAACATCACCAGTGTAAAGCAACTTCTCTGTGAGATGCCAAGAAAGCCTTTAAACTCATTTGTCTTTGTTTTCAATCCACCTGTTCATTTCCATTTCAAATGTCTAGGAAAGATTGACAAAACTTTTTAGGCTGCAAACCTAAATGTCCACAGTTTTACATTCCAACCACTGTTAATATCTCAGAATTTGACATAATGACATTCAGTTCAAGAGTACATAGCTGTCAACTGTAACAATTCATATCAAACTACACCTTCCTGCTTCCTAATGTAGTTGCCTCCCTCATCTAGATGACATTTGTGACATTAATCTTATGAGTCAACCCACATATCAAAGGGAAATGATATATGTTGGTGAAACATTACTTCTAAGAGTAAAAGAAAAAGCCCACATCTCTTCATTACTAAAAATGAGAGGCGTGTTTGCCTTAAAAGATATTCCTTCACAAAGATGGATATGGATCCTGTTGCATCCATTTGACAAAGCAGCTTTGCTCGAAGATTCCTGAAAACAGTGCTAGGATCTAAGAGCAGCTATGTAGGATAATTTTACCACTATCAAGAAGTCTTGTGGGACTGGGTGGCTGTAATGCCAGTGACTCGGGAGGCTGACACAGGAGGATCACAAGTTCAAAGCCAGCCTCAGCAACTTAGCAAGGCCCTAAGCAACCTAGCGAGACCCTGTCTCAAAATAAAAATTAAAAGGGCTTGGGATGTGGCTCAGTAGTTGAGTGCCCCTGGGTTCAATCTCTAGTTCAAAAATTTAAAATTAAAAAAAATTAAAAGCTTGTTTTATCTGTTTATAAGCAAAAACAGAAATACTATTTTCAAAAGTCCCCTCAATTTTCATGTTGCTAATTGCAAAAAGCATTGATATGAAGCTAAAACCATGTCTCAAGTAGTAACTTAAATGTTTTAAAATACTGGAGTTTTATATTTTTAAGTTACATTAAAACACATATACTCATGTCCAGTGGCCTACAGATCAATGCCTATGCAAATATTTTAAGGCTAGGCCTAATGATAAATGTGAAGTAGAAATATAAAAATGTGTATTTTAAAATCCATATTTGAAAACTGAAGGAGGAAGATTGGGGTACAGCTCAGTAGCAGAATGCTTGCTTAGCATGCATGAGACCCTGGGTTCAACCTCTACCTCCACAAAAACAAACTGAAGGATAACTAATATATCACTTTAAAAATATTAATTTAGCTAGTTGTATTAATCCCAGAACCTCCAGAGGTTGAGGCTCTTAGCAATTTAGGAGACCATCTCTGAAAATCGAAAGGGCTAGGGATGTCACTCAGTGGTAAGCACCCCTGGAGTGTTTAGTACCCCAGTACCAAAAAAAAAAAAAAACTGTGGTCAAACTGATTAGTAGAGAGCAACAAAATATCTATCTGGCCACTGAAAAACCAACTGAGCAAATAGAAATGTTTTAAATTGGAAACTTCCTGCTCTAATTCCCAAATCAATTGTATATGGTGCGTTTTTTTGTTTTTGTCATATTGGGGATTAAACCTAGGGGTGCTCTACCATTGAGCTATATCCCTAACTTTTGAAAATTTTTGACACAGTCTAAGTTGCTAAGGCTCACCTCTAACTTGCAATCATACTGCCTCAGCCTCAGCCTCCTGAGTTGCTGGGATTACAAGTGTGCACAACCACACCCAACAATAATATAATTTTTAAATCATCCCTACTTACTTGAAAAAACATCACTGCTATAATTTATTACTTTTCTATTGCTGGATAATATGATCAAATTACAGGCAACTGTTCAAAAATTAAAGATCTCTTCCAGTATTAATAGGTCCACATGTACTAAATTTCACTAATTTCTAACCTTTTCCTTAAAGTTTTAACCATTAATAACGCTTTTTCTTGGGGCTGGGGTTGTGGCTCAGTGGTAGAGTCCTCGCCTAATACGTGCGAGGCATTGGGTTCGATCCTCAAGGCCACAAAAAAATAAATAAATAAAATAGAGGTACTGTGTCCAACTATAACTAAAAAAAATAACAATTTTTATTATCTTATGTAGTTGTTTGAACAATAAAAACTATTTTTGTACTTTTTATGATATCCTTACAAAAGAGGAAGGCAGCAAGGGTTGATGGTAATTTGATGATGGTACCATAAATGGCTAACATATGACATGTTCCTTCTATAATGAATGACTTTTCTAAGAGCTGGGGAGATATCTCAGTTGGTAGACTGCTTCCCTCAAATGAACTAGGCCCACGGTTCAATCCCCAGCACCAAAAACAAAAAAAAGAAACAACAACAACAAAAAAGTTAATGGATATAATGAATGACTTTTCTAAGGTGAACTGACTGAAAAAATGTCAATATTTTGCTACTAGTTTTCACTTTATAAAAATCAGAAAATGTTGGTAAAAATTTACCTTTATTATCACCTAATTTTTAATTATTTTTTACGTAGAATAAATATATGTAAGCATTCAGAATGATATTGATCATCTCCCTATTCTAGTCAGCAGATGACTAGAGCAAATGAAAACAAAAACCCAGCTGCTTTTTTAAATAAAAATTTAACAGGCAACTAAATGTGAAAACTGTTCACAAAGGTGTTTTCCATGCTTAGGTAGTAATGAATACTTTATTCTTAGTTGAGCTGATGGATTTGAGCCATAATGACATTTGTGACTAGAAGGGAAGATGGAAATGATTCCATTAACCTAGAGTGCGGTAACATATGGTAATCATAGGTGGTAGAAGAGCTGTGTTGGACAAGGGTAGAAGTAAGCCATGTGGCACAGACATTATCAATTACCACACATGGTAACCATGCTGACATAATGTATCATTTCCAGAAAGGAAATGATTTAGGCATATGAAGTGATTTGCAGCCTTGTGAAGGAGTAATCTATAAATGACATATCTGGCACCAATACAGCACACATGGTTTCCAACAATTCTGCAAGATGAGGATTAAGATTTGATGAGACTCAACTGGTCATAATAGTGCATACCTGAAATCCTAGCAACTCAGGAAGCTAAAGAAGGAGGAACCCAAGTTTGAGGCCTGCCCTGGTAACTTGGCAAAACTGTCTCAAAATAAAATAAGGTTGCTCAGTGGCAAAGCACCCCTGGGTTCAATCCCTTGTACCCCCAACCAAAAAAAAAATTGATGAATCTATATACCAAATAACAATACATCAGTTATTTGCACAAAGGCAGCAAATCAAAATATGTATGCAAAACACTTGGGTCTTTCACACGTAAAATTTTTTCTCAAATATTTAAAATTGTTATATAAAAATTCTGGAATTTTTTAATTTCTGGAAATACAGGCCAATAATGTTAAGACTATATGATACAAAGTCTATGGGCAAAGATTCAAAATTATATTTAGGGAGACAGAATTATAATTATTGTTTCAGGGTACTGAATTGGAAAGAAA